GATCCCGGGACTCCAGAATCACGCCCCAGGTTGAAGGCAGGCACCAAACTGCTGAGCCACCCAGGAATCCCCCTGCATTTATTTCTTTAAAAAATATCCTCAACCAGTTAAAAATGGCAGTTAAAAAAAAAATGACTAGCTCCTGACCCCCTAAATTTAGAAACACCACTCAAAATATTTAATAGATATAATATTTAATTCCTTGACTTGAATTATTTCTAAGTTAGGAATCACAAACTCGACGTCCACAGAGCCCGGGCTGTGACATTAATAATGAGCATGTGGTGGTTGTGGTGAAGTGGAGAGCTTATACCCAACTGAAAAGGCACAGCCTTTTAATAACCAATCAATTATTTTCATGCGAGTCTGTGGGCCTGCTTTCTACATTTTGTAACTTCTCAGGAAAAGCTCCAGCTATTAATGTGTGGTCTCTTAATATTACCTGCAAGGAACTGATTCAACATATTGAGAGATCTGTGTGACCAGAGCAACAAATGCCAGTTGACCAAGTCTACTTTACTGATGACCCAAAAGGAAACCTGTGATGGAATCTTAAACTTTGGATAGCACAACTATTTATAGATATCCAAGTTTTACCAATTTGAAAATGAAAATACCTAAGTGGGTTATTTAAAACCTTGATCATTTTCATGTTACAAACCTTCTTCACCTACGTAAGCAAGTAGAAGGCATAATATTAACACTATCATAAAATACTAGAGCATTTATAAGTTAGGTTATTTTGGCCTTCAGTTTGTTTTGAGGCATCTGGTAAGATATTTTGACTAATATAAGTCATATAATCGTTTGCGTACTATCATTTATGTTATAAACCAGATGATACGAAGGACAACTTCCACTTAATATCATAATATGTTTCACTCCATATAAACATTCTTATCAATTCATAGTTTGAGTTTAAAAGTTGCTCTAGTATAAATTAGACAGTAAATATACATAAACAGTTTATACTATGTCTTTTACTTTGATGTGTTATATAGCTTTTAGAAAGTATTTCTTTTAGATGAAATTTAGAAAAGTTTTGTCCACAGGGAATTTACAGTTGTCACTTAAAATTAAGTAAATCATTAAAAAAATGACCACCAATCACAAAATTATAGAGTAAGCTGCATAGACTGTAAAATAGACTTTAAAATTGTGTATATGCGTGCACACATCTCTACAGAGAGCTCATTATGGAAAGCAATAGGGAAAATGGTAATCATATAACTATATCCATATTGATAGAGTGATAAGTTATATAACCCAGACCATCAGAAATTGTGCTTCCACACTAAACCCTTCCCTCAACTTAAACCTCTCAGGTTCCACTGCCTTATTTTCCCCTCAAATTTGAGAAATGTGTGGAGAGGTGACTCTTAGCCTAAACACTTCCTTCAGATTTGTGAGTTCTCCAAACCATCCTTTTTGTTATAACTTTTCACTGTGAAGTTGTCAAAAGGCGTATTCGTGTTCCTATTAGTGTTAAGAAATCTCTGAGGTATGCCCTGTAGTTGGGAAGTCCCACCTCAGGGCCAAGCCCATTGGGCTCTGTCCTAGACCATTACCAAAGCTTCCGCTGGCTGGCCTTGGGATAGGCTGCAGTCCCCTCCCCAGGTAGAGGGCCCAGAGTGCAGGCGAGGCAGTCGGACTCAGCTCCTCCACCCCTAGGACCCCTAGGCCCACTGCGCTTTTCCACGTGGCACATCTACGTTCCCAGCCTGGTGCCCATGTTCAGAGGCTTCCTTTTTGGAGCCCCTTGGCCATGGCCTTTTTAAAATGCTTCTGTCAAGACCATCTTCTGAGGGCCTCGAAGACTCCTTTCTCCACTGTGAGTCAGTATTCAGGACATTGCTGCTCCTCGCTCTTTCTCCTTTCTCTCCCCATGGCTTGCTCCCTCCCTCCAGACACCACACCACACAACCCAGCAGGACCTTGGTTCAGGGCTCCTTCAGCAGAGAGACGAAGCCATGCTTCTGCACGGATACTTCTGATCCTAGCCCAGTGCCATTTCCTGGGGTAAACGGGGACACTGATGAAGCCAGCACCTTCTCTCTGGCCTCTTGCTTATACTAGAGCAGGACGTGAATAAAGACTGGATTATTACTTTCATTTTGGCTTGTTGTTTTCATTGACCACTCTGACAGCTCAGTTCTTACCAGCTCAGCTTTTGACAGTAACTTTCCAGACTGTAATGCAAATACCTTATAAAAGTCATTCGAAAACTGCTGTGCAGACCCAGCGCAGTGTACCACTTACTGACCATCTGATTATTTATTATCTCACTTATTCGAAATGCTGGATGGCCCCCTTTGCCTGTCCCTGGAAAGTTTTAGACCATTTGGAACTCACAATTTACAGAAAGGTCGTGATGATTGGAGTTAGATTGTTTTAGATTTAGGCTCTGCTTCTTACCTCATAAAGGAATAAATCACAAAGAATCTATGGGCCTTACTTCCCATATCTTTATTATAATAAGGACATAACATTACTCATACAAATATCTCAAAAGAACGTTTTGAGGATTAAATTTAAAATGATTGTTGTAAACCTTTTTGAAAATTCTACAAAGTCATTACTTTTTACTAGACTTTACTCCTACATCAATGAGTGTTTTTTTTATTATTTTGATTCCTTTTCCTGTGTCATTACACAGAAGCTCTTACTGAAATGAATCAGTAAGCTTTACTCTTAATTGTTGTCCTCTCAAGTCCTACTGATGCAACATTTTATTTATCTAAAAATTTAAGATTTCAGTGAAAAATGGTCAAATTAAACATTCTGGAATCTAAGGAACGTTGCAATAGGAAAATATATTCAAATAATTTTTTAAACAGTAGTTATGTTGAAACTATTCTTTTCACAATATATCATTTTACAAATAGATTTTCATATATACTTTTTCCTTTTTCCTCCATGTCTTCTTTCTTGTCCTTAGTGTATTTTTCTGTCATTCCTTTACAGCTGCTGCACAAAATGTCTGATCATGAGCAACATGGGTTTCAGAGATGCTCATCCTCTTTCTGGCGTAGTAGTGATGATTCATCTTCCTGTCTAAATATTTCTTCCGTTACTGTCACTCCTGTCAACTCGCCTGATTCCAGACTGTCACTGGGACTGTTAATACCACCACCTTCTAAATGTGGCCTTCCCAAGCCAATCAGTGAGAGCAGCATCCCAAGACCTCATGTAATTTGCTAAGCAGAAAATTCTTATTATCCCACATATTTTTTTAAACTCTGCTAAAATGTGCTATTGATATCAAAGTGAAAAAATTTCAGGTATGTCCACAGAAAGGCAAGTTAGGACAAGTAACTTCAAAGAACCCTCAGATATGGCGACTGGGAAAGTAGGTCATTGCTGATATTGGTAAAAGCAGTTTCAGTGGTGTTTGGTACAAAAAGAGCAAAGTCTAGATTGATAGGAGTTAGTACCTCTCCCAAGGAAGTTAGTCTTAAGGGAAAAAGCAAAAAATATGAGGCTAGAAGAGTAAAGATGGACAGGCTAAAGATGTTTTGGTTGGTTTATTTTGTTTTCAAGAACAGTCAAGATTTGAATATCATTATAGCAAATGTGTGACTCTTTACACACAATCAGCCTTATTTTTCTTCCATTACCTTCATTATCTATGAATGAGAAAAATAAATATATTCCAAAAAGTCTAATTTTACTGTGAAACATGCCAAGTAATCTCTGTTCATGTTATTTGAGGAAAAGCAAGTTTTTCCTTCTATTCTTCTCCAAAATAAGAGTTCTCTTTCTTCTCTAGATTGTGTGTATGTACGTGTGAGTGTATTTTGCCCCCCAGAATGGCAATCAAAGTGCTGGTTGCCTCATTCCTGGGTCATGCCTGACCCAGACCGACCCAGATAACACTTTTGGTGGTACATTTAGTGATAATTTATTTTGCAAGGTAGCTATTTACCATAGAAAACCTGGGCCCAGGTGGCTCAGCAGTTTAGTGCTGCCTTCAGCCCTTCAGATCCTGGAGACCCGGGATCGAGTCCCACATCAGGCTCCCTGGACGGGGCCTGCTTCTTTCTCTGCCTGTGTCTCTGCCTCTTTCTCTTTCTCTCTCTCTGTATGTCATGAATAAATAAATAAAATCTTAAAATAAATAAAACATTTATTTCTTAAAAAACAACAAAAAAAGAAAACCTAAGAACTCTTACCTGGGAATAAAAGGTGCTGCAGTGAATATAATAGTTGGCTGTCATTGTAGTAATAAATACAAATTAATATATAATCTTCATAACTTTTTAAAGTTGCTATCAATTGCGTTTGAATGAATGGGTCATATTTAAGAAGGTGCATTACTTATGTTTAATTATTTCTATTTATAACTTAAGCAAAATATATTACTGAAATCATGTTTTTATATAGTTTCTTTAAAAAAAAAAAAAAGACCTTGTTGGCAAATTGAACTCCAATAAAAAAAATAAAAAATAAAAAATAAAAATAAAAATAAAAAAAAATTTTAAAAAAAGACTTATTTATTTTGGAGGGAGAGCACGAGCAGGGGGAGGAGAGGTAAAGGGAGAGGGAGAAGCAGACTCCTCACTGAGCAGGGAGCCTTACCTGGGGCTCCACCCCAGGACCCTGGGATCATGACCTGAGCCTAAAGCAGAGGCTTAACAGACTGAGCCACACAGGCTCCCTGTATAGTTTCTAATATTTTCAATTCTCTGAACACATGGCAATTATTTCTAGGTATACAAAAAAAAAAGTATAAAATATATCTAGAGTAGTATTGTCAGCATTTTTGTCATCATCTTTAAGGCCACTGTTGCAGAAATTTTCTGTTGCATTCTTACTAATGAGCATTTGGCATGACTAGTTAAATCATATAGAACTGCCAACATTTGATCTACAAAATGGCAAGTGCATATAATTCAACTGAATTATTTGTTGTTTATATGTGTTTTATATGCATATGAAATATTTAACATTAAAATGTGTCTACCTGAAATACTGCTTAATTCACATTATTTTCATTGCAGGCGGGCAGTGTGACACCAAAGTCACCCTCCACAGACATCTTTGATATGATACCATTTTCTCCAGTGTCACACCCAACTTCAACACCTACTCGCAATGGCACACAGCCACCTCCAATACCTAGTAGATCGACTGAGATTAGTAAGCTTTCTAAACAAATCAATATTCTTTTCTATATTTGTATACATCTTAAATATTTAATATTTTATGGAATTAATACTTTAGGGAAAATTATATATATTGAGCTCACTAAAAGTGTTAATTACCAAAGAACTATGTTTATATGTGCCAAATCAGCTAATCAGATTTTACTTTATAATACTTTATAATTCAGAGTATACAGAGTCACTGTTGCATTTGAAACTATTTTATGAAAAATGATATAGGGTATAGGGTTATCTATATCATCATACAAAGCATTTATTTATATTTTATTGTGTTTGGGGTTATACTTTTAATGTTTTAATGATTAATAACAACTTGGTGGTAACTATTTTAATATTTTGACATTTAGTAGAACTCAGTGTAAATTTTTTATCAAAGAGTATATGAATATTCTTAAAGAAACATGTACATATTGAATTCCATGATTTGTTTATTAACCCTACATAAGTGTTTTTTCTTGATATCTAAAATACTATACATGAATCACTTTTCTGATTTATCTTCTATACATTTGGAAGGAATGTAAGAGTCTCTTACCGATGAATTAGGAACCATCCAACAGATGCTCACTTTCAATGTCTTGATTATATTTTGATCTGTGCCCTATCACAGGAACTTAAAGAATAGTTAGTTCTCAATGGCCATGATCAGTCATCATGTCCAGAGGGAAACTCAAGAAAAGACACTTTTACATGTTATGCTTTACTGCATCCTCTCTGGTTCACATTAAGAGGTTTTCCCATATAACTCCGAAGTTTTAGCTTGGGCTTAAACTGTGTCAGGGCCCTTAATTTATTTTTTCCCCTTGTGGAACTTACCAAAATATATTACACATGTTAGATATTCAGTAAATTTTAGAGAATTAGTTGTAAATGAAAAGTAATAACATCAGAAACTTTGAACATCAGTGTACAAAAATACTTTTACATAAATTGAAATATATATTTTTTAATTCCTCTGAATATATTTTGTGCTTGCAAAATATTTTTTCGGGAAATAATCCATAATATATATGTCATAGTATGTTTTTAGCAAATGTTGCCAGTATCCTCATGTCATAATGGGGTATTTTTTTGTCCTTCTGAGGGTCTCACATCTCTTCCTTTACTGTTTTTTAATTCCTTGAACTTAACGACTGGTTTACTCATTCTCTTATTTAGCCCAATAAGCATTTGTTTAGCATATATGCTAGACTTGCATTACAAGCTAAAATCTGAAATATAAATTAGTGTGGTATCTGCAAAGGAGGATTTTAATCCAAGTCAAATTATAAACTGAGAAGAGTGAATAGCCTTGAAAATATTTAGAAGGGATAATTTATCAGGATGGTGGCTGAGAGTTCAGAATCAACTATGATTCAGGATATTAGACCAAATGTTGTTAACAGGGAAAACTAGAGATAGGTAAGGTGAAAAATGCATTCAGTTTTACATATCAATAAATTTGACATGCCTTTGGAATATCTAGGCAGAGATGTTCAAATTGTGTTAAGGAATTTTTTAATGAGAAACTGAAGTAACACCCTGCTACATTTTTAAATATCTAATGATCCTGAGTGCCAAAGTTTAGTAAATACAATAAAGGATAGATGATAGGTAGGTAGGTAGGTAGGTAGGTAGGTAGGTAGATAGATAGATAGTAGATAAATATAGCATTCTAGATAACCCCATACCATATCTATCTTTATAGCAAATGCTGTTGGAAAAATGGTACTTACTTGATACTTGAGTTGCCACAAACATTTTTAATTTGTCAAAAAATATATATATCTGTGAAGCACTCTAAAGCAAAGCGATAAAATGAGATAGCCTGTAATGAAAATCTCTATTCCTCTTGATCAGCTCTTCTTCCTTCTTGTTAATTCATTTCTTTTCACAAACATCTATCCTGTGCAAAGCAGTGTTGGACGTGCTTGTGGTATGGTGGTAACCAAGGCACTCCTCCAAAGAGAAGTTCTCTTGTTCCCCAAGCTCTGGTTTATTAACTGAACAACATCAGACTGAGGAAAATAACAACAATAATAATAACACCCATGCCCATGTATAATGTCTACATATATTATGTAATATATATAAAATATATATAATATTCATATATAAAATGGGCATAAATTCCCATTTGTTTAGGACAGTTCTGGTTTATATCTTCTGTCTTGGTGTGACTGTTGGTTGCATTCCTTTTACTCTTAAAAGTGTCTTTATTTGGATGATAAAAGTGTATGTCCCTCTTATGTATATAATACTTAGCAGCACCAGGCACTTACAAAAATTTTTTACTTATTTAATACATGAATTTGAAAAAAAAAAGTTCTAACTATAAAAGCCAGAGTCTTTCATAATGAGGGTCACAGATTAATTTAGAGGATAGAATAGAACTCAAGGAACATAACTATTATTTCTTACATAGCATTGAATTTTGATAATATAGTTTTTCTTAATATATTACAAATTCACATGCACCTATATAATTTTTAAAAATTGTGTCAAGAAAGAAATTTGATAATTTTTAAATAATAGGCCTTGGTTTTTATCAATTACAAATATCAATTTTAACTTTGATACTTCTTTAGTGGTTAAAAAATGAATACTTTAGAGTGTATGTTACAGAGAGGTTTTTGATATTCCATTTCTGTTGTATTTAAAAGAAATTTGTGTTGGGGCTAGGAGGTATTTTTAAAGAACCCGCCCCGTTGTGTTTATTTGGGAAGGTGATATAGTTTCATACATGAGACAATGTGCCTTAAATTTTTTCTAAATATATGTGAGATTAAGGTGTAATGAGCTATGAGTAACACGACTTACCAACCAGCCCCGGTCCCTCGGATTGCTTCACTGTTGTGTTACAAAGGCATCAGTAGATGGAAAAGGGAAGTCTCAATAAGTAATACATTAGTTGTAATAAATTTAATTGCTTTAAAAATTTGATGAATTTGATATTGAGAAATCTTAATTAAAGACACAGAAGCCTCTCTGGATAATAATTCTTTGTAACCAAACAGTTTTTAATATTGTCATAAAATGGATCTTTGCTTCTTTGTTGGTGTTTACCTCTAAGCTCAGAAAAGCCCAGCGTAAAGTGAGTGTGGATAGGAGCTCCATTGGCCTTGTGAGCAGTTCTTTATATAATCCTGCCTCTGAGACCCAACTCACCCCAATCACTTCTTGTTAGTTAGTTAGTTAGTTAGTTAGTTAGTTAGTTAGTTAGTTAGTTCTTCTTGTCATTTAATTTACTAAATTATTTTCCTCCTTTTAGAACGAGACCTGTTTGGAGCAGAACCTTTTGACCCATTTAACTGTGGAGCAGGGGATTTTCCTCCAGATATTCAATCAAAATTAGATGAGATGCAGGTGACTATTTTAACAGATTGACCTACACATGGTTTATTTCTTTTTGTTTATGGGACACAGAGAATGTTATATACCAAAACTACCCTTTCCTTAAATTAGTATTACTATGGAAACTTATTTGAAACAATTACTTGGAAATACTCATATGCATTTAGTCCTAAAAATATTCCTACACATGCTAAGTTTTATTTTGTTCTGTTTTCTTTTTAAGAGTGCAATTTACAATGGCAATAAGATAGTTCTTTTTTTATATGAAATTACATGGATTCTAATGGTTCATTACTTTCAAATCCAAAAATTACAAGGTAATTGTACTAGGTTTATAAGATTTCATCTCAGTTTTACCAATTATGCAGTTCAAATTGTAAATGGGTAGATGAAGGAAAATCTTTGTGAGAGTGAAATCAATCTCTTTTACAAGAAGCATCGTCGCTATGGTTCATAACTTCTGGACTCTTTTGGGGAAAGCAGGCACCCAGTGACAACTTCTTTAGTAATATAGTCCAGTTGGGTTTTTCATTTCTCTCTCCCTCTTTTATTTTTCAATTCTCAGTTGTACTGGAAATTTGAAGATGCTGGTTTTAAAAGCTTTTTACAGTGGGCCATGATTAATAAATAGTCTTGAAAGCACTGGGAAAAAAAATCTTCTCTTTATATTTGCCCTTTACATTTTGGTGAAGTTATTATAGCCTATATTTTATTGAAAAGATTGTTTATATGGTAAAACGTAGGCAAAGACCAATTATATGAAGCTGATTGAGAAGATGTAGTGAAGGAGTCACTCCTACTTATTAGGTGATTCATTCCCTATGTTTCATTTCCTGGACAAAACTATTAACGGTGGGTTCTGATCTTCTAACACTGATGAAACACTCCTTCCTAGAAAGATAATATAAATATCCTTCCACTCATTTTGGACTACAGCTATGAAGCAGTCATCTTCTTTTCTAGGCATTATGTGAATTTCCTTATTGCTCTAGATATAGTAACATATGCCTTGAGATTTTCAAAGAATATGTTAAAACAGCATTTCTCAAGTTGGGTGATTCATAATCTTATTTTACATGAAAAATTATTTTAAATCCTTTCTATTGACTTAAATTGTAACATTTCTCAAATATTTACAATTATTTGCTCCTATACAACTATTAATTCAAGATTATACAACTATACAGTTGTATTATTATACAACTGTACAATTATACAATTATATAGCTCCTATACAACTATTAATTTAAAAATTACAAGTTAAATAAAAGCACAATTGCAACACCTAATAAAATTCAAATTAAGAACTTCAACAGGATGGTGATATTATGTGGCTGAAACTAAAACCACCGATGTCAAACTTCCATTGATTTCAGGATATATCCTGTTTTGTGGTGCAATTTCCCTCCCTCTTTTCTAGAGTTCAAATATGACACTTTCACTCAAATAGTACATGATTATTTAGCAGGAATACTTCATTTATTTTATATGTAATCAATCTTTTCCCTTTTTCATTAGTTTTACCACCTAGGTTTGTGCTACTTAGGACTAATGCTTTTGTAAGAACAAACACAAACATGGGCACGACGGTGCGGTGGTGTTTGTTGTTAAACATTATGCAAATCACAAAGAGTACTTTTCTGTTAATGTTTTTAAATTTTCACAAGACTGAAAAAAATTCTATAGCTTTTTAAAAACAAACCTATAGCCCCAGATTTTTGTAGGAACTAACCCCAAAAGACACTGTATTGAAATGATTTAGTGATGTGTTAGTTAAATAATGTTAAGCTATGGTATTTTTGCTTCTGTTTCTGTTTTTGCCATTTCTAATATTTTCTTACTGTCTTTTTTATTCTTTTCTGCTTTCATGGTGGGTAGCGCCAGAGATGGTTGGTATATTATTTTCATAATAATTTTAAACAACTTACAACTTCTTAAAGCTAAAACCTTAATATTTGCATGCTTTACTTAATAAATCTTCAAACAGCAGTTTCACATGGATGTCTCTGATTGTTAGTTGTGTTTAAAGAGGTTTTATAACCCATATTTTAAAGTTATTTTTTCAATGATGTCTTCACTATTCCATTGTCCACCTCATTGCTTGTGTGTTTTTGTTTTGTTTTGTTTTGTTTTGCTTTGGTTCAAGATTTACTTGCAAGGTCACTTCAACTAAAGTAAAATAATATTTTCTTCATCTAAAGTCTATGACAACTTTTGCTATTAATCTTGTTAGCCTAATTAAGCTAATGTACACATTTGGCTATTATTTTTATATTTGCATATAATGTAAAAACAGTATAGTACAGTGGGTTGTATAAATAATATTGAGTTAATAAAACTAGTGAGATACTTAGGTTTTCTCTTTCATTTACAGAGGAAATCACAAAAATATCTTGTGTGTATCAAATTTAAGCAGAAATGTGAGGTCATATTTTATTTTAAATCGTTAGAAAATAGAATATTTATTTGAAACCAGTAATGTAGTTATTTAATTTGACATAACTTAAGCTTCCTGGTACATGTCACTGACAGACAAATTAGTAAAATAGTATTGATAGCTCAGAAGTGTATATTCTAAGCTATAATAATTTAATACATGAAAAAAGGATCATGGCAAGTCAGTGAAATATGAACTTTGCATTAAGAGGTGTTAAGTCAGCTGGTCAATAATTTAGTGGAAGACCAATGAACAGCTGTAACATACAATAGATATCCAAGTAAATTTCAGAAAGATTAGTCAGCTTAAAATGTTTGGTATACAATTGAATATTTATCAGACTTTTGAATTGGAAAGAAATTTTTATAAGGAAAAGAAAAATATGTAGTTCTATAGTTTCTATAGTTTTTTGTAATTTTTTCTTTTCTCTTTAAAAATATATAAATATATCACATATACATAATTAAGGTAAGTAGACAAATACTTAGAAAACTAAATCAGATAAATAAAAAAAAAAAAACAGCAGTTCACAAAAGACCACAAGTGGCTAACATGCATGTAGACATGTTCAATCTAACCAAAGAAAATATACAAATTAAAGAAAGAACTAAAAGTGCTATTTTAATCAAGCAAATTAAACATTTTATTTCCTTACTTATAATCCATGCAAGTGAGAGTGTGGTGAGACAAACTCATTGGTGGGACAGGGTCAGTTCAAAGCATCCATTTGGAGAGTAATTTGTTGGTAATACTTATATTTCTATTCGATATCAAAAATTGTAATGCAATCTATTCTGAGAAGAAAATGACTATAAATATGGAAAATTTCTATGAGCAAATGCTTCTAGTTAACTTTATTCATAATTACAAAATACTGGAAATAATTAAATCACATTAAAAATAATAGATTGGTAGTTGCCTGCAGGAAGAAGAGTGAAGAGACAGGTGGAATGAGGGGATTAAAAAATACAAACTTTCAGTTATAAAGTAAATAAGTCACAGAGATGAAAAGTATAGGGAATATAGTCAATAATATTATAATAACTTTTTATGGCGACAGATGGAAACTATACTTATCATGGTGACATTTCCTAATGTATATAAATTTTCAGTCACTATGTTACACACTTGAAATTATTATAATATTGTATATCAACTACACTCAGATTTTTAAAAGAATGAATAGAATATTATATAATCATTAAATTAGTTTTATGGGGACCCAATAGGGAAAATTTGTTCCACTAAATTCTAAAAAGAATATAGAAAATTATATATGTGTGCTACATTAAAATAAATAAAGTTATATATATTTTTATATATTATAGTTTTTATATTATTATTGAAATTATTTTTAAAATCTAGAGATCGATAAAGACCCTCAAAGGACATACCTCAACGTGTTAACAATTCTTTCGTATGAGTGGTTTTTCCTTCCTTAACATGCTTTTCTCCCTATTTCAAAATAAAGTAGAACTGAGCAAAATATTTCATACAAAAGGCATATTATTAATAATATGTTAATAATAAAGTTATCTTTTGCATGATACTTGTTTACAATAATCTCCATCACAACATAAATTAAATCCTCATTTTCATCCAGAGTTTTCAAATTCAAGAGGATATGGAAACCTGAGAAAGATTCAGTAATCATTAAATCGTGACTTACTAAATGAGACCTAGGAGGAAAAGTCAGAAGCTGTATGAGAAATTTTATCTTAGAAGTAAAGAAAATGAAGGAGAGAGTCAATAATGTGTCTGTTAATAGGGATGATTAAATTAATCCCTAATTAATTTAGGTGACTCCAAAGGGATCCTTATAAAATCACTATGGAGATATTCTTATAAATGATCTACTTTTCTTATTATTGAAATAGTGACCGATCCGTATTTTACTGATTGCTGTTCTGCCGTTCAAACACAAACGCAATGATAAATAGTATTTTCAGGGTATTTGAAGTGATAGTGGTTTCATTTCAGAATAAACTGAGAAAAAGATTAAAACACTGTCTAGTATCAAACCTTCTCAAGTTAATATATATCCACTCTGTCTGTGTATATTTCTATCTGTCTGTCTTTCTGTTTGTCTATCTGTCTGTCTGTATGTCTGTCGTGCCAGAAGAGGACAGAGTACACAGAGCCTCCCATATCCAAATAAAATATTTGTACAGAACAGTTAACTTACACTATTCTTAGCTTAAAGTCTTGACTTCTCTAAGCATTTGGCAGCTGTTTAAGATACCACGCCCCGATACAGCAAAATAGCTCTTCTTGTGATAGGAACAGGCTTTAAAACAATAACGGTGAGTGCCGTGACTCGCTCGGCCCCATGGCTTGTCTGGCCAGTGCCGGGAAAGAGCCCCGGGCGCCTGGCAGCGGTGGCACTGCCCTGGGGCCCGTCCGCTGTAGAGGATGAGGAGCCTTGAACGTTCAGAGCAGGTGAGGTGAGGCTCGCAGTTTCGAGCTGGCTTTCTCCCTTCCCGGGGTCACGGTCACGCTGCATCTGGAAGGAGGACATTAGACCCCTGCTGTGGATGGAGGTGACTGGGGTCAGAGTGGCTCACCTGCCCATAGGCTCAGTCTCAGTCTCACGAAATAAACTCAGGGAGGACGGAGGCCAAACCTTCTCTAGGAGGCCTGTCCCCGCTCGGCGGCCCGTGTCGCCTGCCAGCCCCTACTGCGAACTACCTCCCTGAACAAAATCTCAGTTGTCAGGAGGAGAGAGACGTGGGGTATATGTGTAGAAGCTGCCCCAGTGCTTCTACAAGGAAACCTAGAATACGGCCCCGGGCCCCTGATTAATGGGAGGCTGTGCTTTCCATCTCTTCCTTGCAGGCCCCAGCGCATGGATCACAGGCCACGGTGGGGAGGGGCGAGGTGGTAAACTGGAGAGAGCTGGGGGTAGAGGACAAACTCTTCGGCCACTGACTTTTAACTCAAAATCGAGGGCCCGTGTTGTGATGAGCCCTGGTGTTGCATGGAAGTGACGAATCACGGAATCCTACGTGTGAGACTAGTAGTCCACTCTCTGTTAACTAACTGGACTTTGAGTAAAAAAGTTGGGGGAAAAAAACAAATCTTCGGAGGAAAAAAAAATGTGTACTTGCTCCCAGTAGATGGAGGGCACCTTCATTTCCAGAAACATCCCAAACATGCTAGGGAGAGTGGGACCCAAAGCAAGACTTACAAGTGTGAGCCACGGCGGGATGGGCAAGGGAGGCTTTCTCCGTGGCCAAGTGGTCTGCAGCTCCGTGTCCCACGCAGGCCCTGGCGTTGCGTTTGCCAGCCTGAGCCCTGGACAGTGGTAACCGGGAGGAGGACGTGAAGACTCTCCAGCTGTCTCTGGTCATGGAGCAGCTCCAGCTCTCTTACTTCTGTTTAAATCATGTTGGCCTCCAAAGCCAACAGAGGAGATCTAAGCCCCCAGTAGACTGGCACACGAGGCCACCCGTGACCATTCAAGTCTTGAAACCCCTACGGGATGCCACTTGCTTCTGTTTCCCTTGGTCTTTCACGCATGCCAACGTCACACGTACTTAAACCTTTAAAACGCTGAGGGGTGACACACACCGATAGGAACACTTGACAAGCCAGCACGGGCCATTACTCCTCAGCCGATCAAAGCATGAGGATTTCAACTTTTGTTCAGTCTCTTTGTTTTGTGGCTATCATCATTATCACCGGTATTAGTATTGCCATGAGCATTTCTTATCTTAATGATTTTGCTCTGTTTTGCAGGAGGGGTTCAAAATGGGACTAACTCTTGAAGGCACAGTATTTTGTCTCGACCCATTAGACAGCAGGTGCTGATGTCAAGAACAAGAGATCCAGATTTGTGTTCAGTTTGTTTGTTATGCGTATACGTCATTCCTTATTACTTTCTGACCGGTGGTATACGTGTGCCAATATATTTTTGAAGACCTTCACTTTTTGCAAGTTATTTTAGTAAAACGTCCTTTGCTATTGATCTATAATGTTTATTTTAAAAACAACTGACTGTAAAGTAAATCATACTTTTATGTTCTTTTCCGTTTCTCCTGTAGATAAGTTTATAATCAAAAAACAAATTACCCAAATATCTGTCTTGTGTCAGAGTTCTGAATAATTAGTATCTTGACACATGTGTTCATTTTCCAGGCTGCTAGTTTATTTTTGATTCCCAAAAGCCATACCTTGATGACACCTTTCAAAGTCTTGAGGAGATATACCAATGCCAAACTAAATATATTCCATATTCAAACCAATAAGCATGTTACCATCCATTAGACAGATGTTATTTTATGTATTAAATGTTGTTCATATCATTGGCAAAATGTAAACCTTGAATATAATCCCACCAGGTCATTTTTAGCAAGTAAAGTAGCAAAAATATAATTTCCAATAATAATTAAACCAAATAATTAGAGTTTATTAGTAAAAGCAAAGTATTAATGTTAGCTATTATTATCACTTATACTCTAAATCTTTTATTTATTTCATAAGTGAAGATAATGGAAAAAATTAAAATTTGCTCATTACAAAACACTTAAAATTTAATTTCTAATGAGATAAGTTATGCTAAACATCTAAACATAATGTGATCTGATATTTTCTAAAAATACATTTGGAATATATGCTGTCTATGGTTGCAATGTCTATTATCCACATTTACTTTACCAAATATATCTTTTCTAACTGAATAATATTATTCTCATATTTTCTCCTTTGATAATGATATTTTCTCACCCAATTTATTTTGTGATGCCCCATTAGTTTTGATACTTTAAAATCTATAACAATTATTCCTTATGAATCATCAGTATCATTTAGCAATTTTAATTTGTAATTGTTTTTGTTGAAGTCAGAATCTCATTTTTTTTACAAAAATCAAACGACTTCTCAGTTTAAGCTAACATGAATGATAGAATTTTCTTTTACTTAATTGATAATGTGCTGATGAACTCCGACCTTTAAGTGTTTATTTCCTACACCTTTGCCCATTATGTAAAAGACTTTAATTTGTACTCAGTGCAAGAATTTATGGTTAAAATTTATAATTTGGTACATTGCATCATAAGAAAAATAGATTAAATTAATGAAAATGTGAGCTTAGATTAGAGGTAGATCTCAAAAATAGATTTTTCTTTTACTCATGGAAATTTCTGTCAAGTGCTAAAGGTACATATATTCACTAGGAAAAGAAATCAAATACGCTTATGCAATCTTATATTTGTATGTATCTTCGTAATGTTCTATGGTATATATAAGCCTTCTTGTTTTCTGTTTTCTGCTAAGTTGTACCTTAATTAGAAGTTAGTATATGTTTCATAAAGAAGAACCTTTATAATTTTGTTTGTCATATAGTATTTTGGAATTTGTATAATGAGGATGTTTAGGGGCCATATGAATGGCTTTTTTTTAACAGATAGAATTTGTATTTTTATTGTACTTTAAAAGCTTTATGTAATAGGTATATATTTAGTGGCCATTTATTATCAATGGTAACACAATAGAGTACTAAGATGGTATTTGCACACTTAAGATATGTTACTTTACCAATTTTTAATGGTAATCAATTCTGCTACTGGCATGACTAAATAGTACATAATTGGTCATTAATTATGAACATTTATTTCACCAGTGCATTTTTATGAAGATCCCAGTTGAAAATTGTATTTCTATGTAAACTCAATATGTTTGATTTTGCTGAGAATAAATGATTTTAAATAAATAATTGTATATTTACTCATTAAATAATCCCTGGTTAAGTTAGAAACATTCTGAAGGTGATTATATGACAGTGTTTCCAGGTCATAAAATGAGGCCTAAGAGTAGAAGGAAGAGAGGAAGAGAAAGGAAAAAGAATTAATGAACTTTAACTTCATTTCTTACAGCCCACACACATTTTAGCTTTGTAAGCAAATATCATTCAGTTGTGAAAACAGTGGCCTCGATCCTGGTGGTGAGAGAGGTCGTAACTGGGTCCCTTTCACTAGAAGCATCTGGTGCAATAACTGTATTATGTAAATATCTCCTTTAAAAATTGAGAGCCTTTTTAGACTAGTAATAGTATATAAAGGGTTTCTTGGTGGAGAGTCTTTAAAAGGTAGACTTGATAATAAGATTTGAGCTGTGGCTTATTGGAATATCATGAAGTTCTGAACCTTCTGAAAACAAAGTATTAAGTGTTTTAAAGATTCACAGGACTCCCATGCCCAGTGTTTGCACACCAATGAACAATCCATCAACCCATTCAATAAAACTCATTTATTACTCACTTTGTGTGATAACCTATGTTATGTGGGTAAGAAAACATCTAGTAAGTTTGCTTACTGAATTTAAGTTTGCTTGCTTAACGTTGTTAAATTGAAGATGACCGGATTTCTGCCCTCAGTTAGTTTATTGACATAAAGGAAAGGTAAGGTGATATATGAATTACTAAGTAAAAACCAATATGTACGAAAGTACCAGGTGAACCAAAAACCTCCCAGAAGACATTTCTATTTAATTCTGTTTAAATGTGCATATCTAGCACTGGCTAGTGTCTAGTGTTAGATATCCACTGTGAGACCATCAAGAGAGTCCAATAGCAATAATTTTCTCTTATTTCTCTTTTTTTGGATTTGAACTTTTTCAAAAACGTTTGGTCACATTATGAAGACTTATTTTCAGATAAAATTTCTGATAGATGTTGCATTGTTGCCTTTCTGATTCTTTTTCTTTTTTACTTTTTTTGATGTTAGTTAACATAACTATGAAAAAAAACTAGCTGCTAATATTTTTCAGTTCCAGTGTTTCCATATGTAGTTCCAAATTCAATATTTACTCATGATTTTGGATTTCAACCTCTGTTAAATTAGCTGGAGACTCTTGGACTCAATTTTGACAGCTAAATCTCAGACTCCACCTAAACTACACCCGTTATAGGTGGCTGGCCCACTGCAGAGATGGGTGTGGCTGGTGTTGCCCTCGGATCCCCATGTCTCCTGCAGGAAGGGCCTAACTTGTGTCCTCTCCTTCCTAGATAAACTCAGGCACATTTCTCAAGAATGTCCTCTTTCAACGTCCATCTTATAAATGGGACAAAACCTTAATTCTTATATACTTGTTCCACGTCTTGATCTTCTGTTGTGAAGAACCAAACACAACCCACTTCTAGAAACACCTCCTATAAAACTTATTTTCTCTGGATTCATTTCCTTCCACTTAGGTTCATGAATTTAAGATACAGCATTTCCTAAATCATAAGTAATATGCAAAATATGGAATGCTTAGGGAGTTGAGTTTAAAGTCTCAAATTTTTCTGTTATTACATGGTAAATTGAAATAATGGAACTTCTCTATCACTAACATTGGGTTTTGCGCCACTTCATAGTACTATCATAACTATAGAACTAAAAATTTGGAAAAAATTTATTTCCCTTAGCCACGTTTTTGGCATTAATTCAGATGCATACTCAAAATTCATCAAGTCAGACTTTTCTGGTTTGCATGCGAGTCTATGGGCAGTTTGTAATATGCATTAAGGCTTTTAAAGAAAACCTGGCTAGAAGCTGTAGGAATTACCTTCTTAAATAGATTCTCCAGTACACAATGGACCTCGTTAAGTTATGAGAGGACATTCTGATATCCCATAGTATTTTCTTGGTAATTTGTACTGTATTATCATTGATATATTTTGCAAAAATAAATAAAAAGCTGTCTTGGAAAAAAATTTAATTTTTTAATAAAGTTCTTTTTTTGACTTTTCTATTTATTCTCCAAAAACTTTGAAGAGAGGATTACTTTGACATTTTTATATCCTGGGGTGCCAAGCGCAACATCCTGTCCATGAGCATTCAGTAAAGGCTGCGTGCTTCTTTAGCATACTTCTTGCTAATGACCTGAGCTAAAACTTCCTGTGCTCTCTGTGAAAGAAAAGAAGAGCATGCCTTCCAACTCAATGTTAGAAGATAATCACTTTGTTCTCTCACATGAACTCTTTACTATTATTTTAACTTTTATCTCCCTGCAGCAATAACTTGCTAAATAAAGGTCTTGACCATTCTCTAAGAGCGTCTAACGACCACTGTAGAATCACAGACTGAGGAAATTTGGTGCCAATGAGGGAGGGAAAACATGATTACTGAGTTTTCCAAGACTATGAAGATTCAAAGGTGAATATTATATAATTAAGAGACATTCCTTGTACTGAAGGGAATGGAGAACCATATTGGTTGAGCATGTGTATTAAAGAATGATAGCTAAAGACTCCTACTGTATCTTTCCTTGAATCCCATATTGTGGTCACACAGTTTTCATTGGTTTTAGATATTTTTAAGCTCATTTACTTGTCCTTAATTTTTATTGTCCTCTTACTTCAAATGGCATTTCACAAGAACATGTTGGGGCCCTTCCCAGTTGACTACTCCCTCCTCTCTGTCTGGCCAGGCTGCTAAGTTCTAGTCTGTTCCAAAGGTCACTTGTTCCAGTTGAAATAGCTGTCTGGATGGCCTGGAAATAATCCAGAGACTGGTTCTTTCCTGCAAAGAAAGCAAAGAAAGATGTTTGTTTCTTGGCTACATTTTGAAAGGAAAAATAAAAGAATTTTATGACTAAGTCTACTAATGGCTGAAAAAAATTAATATAACTCTGGGACAAATTTAAAATTATTTTTTTCCATGCTTTGTGTCATTTTGCTTTTTTACATAATTTTAAAAATCAGTTGTTTAGTATCAAAATCATTAAATGATCGGTATTAGGTAGCTAAGTATATGTAAGAAGTGTGTGCAGAAAAAGTTTGGCAAGGATTCAGCATATACTGATTTCTCTCACAGACAAGCCCAAATACACACACTCATGCGTCATTTTTCAATTCAGTTCTTCATTTATTTTATTCTTGGCATCTGCTTTAATTGAAAAAAAAAAGTTAGGTTGTGCTAGACAGTACAGGGAACGGGGGAGACAGGTAATGAAGGGACAGTCATAAATATTCAGAGATATCAACTAACCCCCACTTGGCCGAGTGAATGTGCTTGACCTGTTCATTTTTTAGGCAATTTGGACCATTCGTAGACTAGAGAGTAGTAAGTATGCTGCAATTATGCAACAAGCTGTTTCTATAGTGATTCCTCTTTCATTTCCCTTAGTTCTCTGGTAATGCCTGCAGTTTTCATCTTTTCAAAATAAAAGGAATTAAACAGGAAAATACCTGAAAATAAGCCGGCCACGTGTTCCACCACCTCCTGCTATCTATGGCGATCAGAAAAACCTAGAATCACTTCAGTTCGAAAATTTCTAAGCCATAGCTTATTTGAATTTCTGAGTAATTTAAATAAGATTACTTAAACTCTTTGCTCTAGAACATCTCAGTCTGATCTATAGAGAACCACTGAACTAGGATTTTAAACTTCATACTTGGATCTTACAGCTATAGCTCTGATCGGAGCTTTGACTTTGGGAAAGTCATGTAATGGGGTTCATGAAGTTCATGAACATTAGCTATTCTTGGCATAAAAAAAGGAACAAAGTTCTCCAAACTAACCAAAAAATGTCACAGAAACTCCATATTTCATCTTTTATTTATATACTAGTTTAAATAAATATTGAATCAATGTCTCCTAGGTAAATTGTGCATCTGGCTGTCAACAGTCTCATAAAAGGGGACAGCAGAGCCACAGAACTGTCCCAGCCTTTGTATCTGTTTATGATCTCAAAATTTGTATAATCTCAGAATTCTGTCCTTTTAATAAAGTTGGATGCAGGGCAAAAGCATGATTCTAAGATTCTCTCCTTTCTCAACCTTTCCTACTCCTAGGGACACACTGAAGGAAGGATCTCAGAGCTCAGTTACACTGGAGAAGTGGGGCCTATGGTTCTCTTCAAAGTAGTAATGTCTTGCCAAATTCTCAGGATAACCTCAAGATCAATGATGCATGACCCAAAGGAATTCAGGGACTCTCCTCTTTCCAAATAAACATTAAACTTTGAAAATGCCACCAAAGAAATGCTGAAATGTATAAGATACTACTATGTTGAAATATCAAAGCACACATATTCTTAAAGATGTTGACATGAAGAGAAACACTTAAATTCACAGGGAATTTTTCAGATTTCTGGTTTTTTTTAATATTTTGTTTATTCATGAGAAAGAGAGAAGAGAGAGAGGCAGAGACACAGGCAGAGGGAGAAGCAGGCTCCATGCAGGGAGCCCGAGTGGGACTCAATCCCGGGACCCCAGGGTCACACCCTGGGCTGAGCACTCAACGCTGAGCCACCCCGTGTCCCCATATTTCTGGATTGTATAGGAACCTGCTTGTATGTGCTTAGGTTTTATAGTGAAGTACCCTTGCCACTGACATATGAGCTATACTCTTTTACGTGGAGGTTGTCTGGTGGGGTTTTTTGTTGTTGTTTTTCTGTACGTATAAAGAAAAGAAAATGCAAAAATCCCCAGCATGCCTGCTAAATCTTCCAAAGGTAGCAATTGTATTTCTCATCACTCTGTATCCTTCCTTAAGCCTTAATCATAGAGCTGAAACCGGAGAAAACAGCTGTCCTGGAAAACCACAAGGGGCTCGAGTATTTATTTCTGCTATGCAAATTGATCAAATCTGTACAAACCTTTGGAAGATATTTTACTGAAAACTCTACAGCAGTACCTCCTGCTTAGCAGTCGATTTTTCTTTTTCAAAAAGAGGCAATCAAGAATGTCTATCTGATAAAATAAAATTAATTAGAAAGCTTGTAGACATAAAGTCAATGAGACCATGGA